AGAAGCACAATTAAAAAAAAAAAAAAAAAGCCTTGATGGATACATCACCAGTGGGACCAGGCTTTTATTTAAGCTCAACCAATACATGCTTCCTTTTGAAAAGTTATTATTATAGTTTCTCTTTAACGTTGACTGAGAAGGCAGGAAGAGGAGGCTGTCCACATGTTTACTGCTGAGTTATTCTGTTCACTCCCAGAAATATAACATTTAGCTGTGAAGCTTTTGCTAACCTGAACATTGATTTTTATAATATATTTGAATGTTTGTTATAGAGATTGCATTTGATTCACTTAAGGCATTAGTATGTTTGTTATACAAGCTTGAATGTCCTCCCTTAAACTGTGAGTGAGTGCACCGGCTATATGACAATTAACTCACTCCTCTGCTGACTCGATGAGGTCTCTGTGAGACCATGTAGATTGGTTCTCTACCGTTCTAGAAAAAATATTAAAGGTGCTTCTGACAGATTTGATCCAAACACAGCATGTAGGCTCATTGCTCTACAGGATTTAGAAAGAATGAGGAAGGCCATGTAGAAAAGACTGTTTCAGAAAAGAAAGTTTGGAACAAAAAAGGGTAATCCAAGTACTGCTGACAATTATAGCTGTTGTGACCTAGAACAATATATATTTCCCAAGGATTGCTCATCCTGTGAAGAAAGAATTGTTTCCATAATCTCTTTTGTATCAACTAGGATTGGTGCAGATGGTGCCCGATGCTGTAACCCTAGCAAAGATTCATCGCCATTCTGGACTGATGGGACCACTGAAAGAAAATACAATCAAAAAGTGGTTCAGTCAGCACAACCACTCAAAGGCAGATTATGAAAAGGTTTGTCCTGCTGTAGCTAATTTTAAATAATGTACTTAAATAAGAATATGCTCTGATTCATTAGATATTCTGATTAATGGAAAAGTAAATTAAGTACACCTTGAGTTCTAATTCATTCAGTCATCAGCATAGTAATAATGACCCAGTTTAAATGGCATATCAATGAGATCAAAGTGTCTGTGTTCGGTTTTCCTTCTGGGAGAGATTCCTGACTACCAATAAAGAATCTCTTTGCATAGCTGCCTCTCTTTGAGCAGTCTCACAGAGATGATGCCCCTCGAAACTCCTCCTTCAAGTATCCTCCACCTATATGTACACGATCTCCAATTTCAATAATTATCCCTCCTTCCTTTGTGATACATATCTTCTGCCATGCTCTACTTTTCCATCAAAGGTTTGCAGAATGGAAAGTAGAGTTTATGTATATATTAGAACTTCACCTACTGTTTTATTTGACTGCAAACACTTCTCAGAGTTTACTTCATTCTGGCATTTGGCCTTTGTCATACAATTGTCCAGGTCTGCTCTATACCAGGGTTTCAGGCTAAGTAGATGAGTGTGGCTAGAGCCAGGCTTTGTTCCACTTACCAAGCCATGAACTGAGATAGCTGGCTCCACTCAGAGGCAGGAATACCTGTATGCTAATTTACATAAAAGTGCAATATAGGTCAACAATAGATTTGCTCAGAACTGGCCCATGCACTGAAATTCCTTTATTCTGGGAAACTCCTCAGTCCTGGGCAAGCTGGGATGATTGGTCACCCTTGCTAGCATGGGGCGCAATAAAGAAACTCAAGAGTTCTTCTCTTCCATACTTACATGCGAGTGGAGCAGAGCACAGTCCAGGCTATTAGAGCCAAATAACAAAGAAGTACATGAGATTATCCTGAAATCTACTTTTTAGCCATTTCTAAATTTTTAACTTGAGTTTTGCACAACTCCCCGGGGTTAGGTTTTTTGAGATATTTCCACATACGTTTGTTTTTCACAACCACCGTGTGAAAGGACATGTTTTATTATCTTCACTTGATAAGTACAGAAAATCTAAACAGACAAATTAAGTGACTCGCCCAAGCACTTGAGAGACCTGGCACATAACCCACAGACAAAGCCTTCTAATCCACCAAGTCAGCCATGCGATTCTAGGAGACCCATAAACTTGGCTCAACAAATTAATCATGGTTACACCACTGAGTTGATGAAAATGATGTATACCCAGGAGATCATTTTAGAAACAAAGAGTATTTTTGGAAAGAAACCTCTGTCCCTTAGAGAAACATAAACAACAATTGACTTAGTGGTAATCTGCTTCCACCCACACAGGCATTCACTGATGTATACTATACCAAAACACTTTCAACACCAAATGGATGACCTATTTTTAAGGATAAACATAAAATGTTATATTAAGAAATCTTAATATAGCTTTTTCTGTGTTCCAAAATTTCAAATATTAAAAAAGTTAATGTTTTAACTTTCTCTGAGAATAAGCAATATTGGGCCATATTGTTCTTTTTTCTTTTACTTTGAAAGAAACCATTCAATATTGTATATTTGAGGCATCAAAAAATCACATCAGAAAATCTCCCTAGTAAATCATGAAAATTGGATCCATTTGAATGAAAGAGATATTTTCCTCTGTTTCAATGAAAACATTCATCTATTAGGCTAAAGAACAGATTGTTTCATGTTTTTTCTGTAGCATATCAAGAATCAGCCACTTACCCGTACCCTTCTCTCTACTGAGATGTAGAAATTGTTCATGATTATGTAATTTTGCTTTTTATAATTTACATTTCAACATTTTCTCTGATGATTAGCATTTTCTCATTTTGTTGTTATTTTTGTGTTATTGTTTTCCAATTGATTAGGCCTTGAGGAACTTTTTCTATTCCTGTGCTGGCTGGTGTGTGGTAACATTCATCCTGGGAGTCTGTGACCGTCACAATGATAATATCATGCTGACGAAGTCAGGCCACATGTTTCATATCGACTTTGGAAAATTCTTAGGTCATGCACAAACATTTGGAGGGATAAAAAGGTCAGTGCACAAATAAGTTTATTTCTGTAATTAAGCAATGCCCTAAGCAATGTATAACATGTAATGACATAGAAACCTACAGATGACTTGTTCCCATCTCTCAAACCCCCAAGGTAATATGAACATAATTATATATCTAATATATATAAGATTAAAGGATGATTGCATATGAGATTTTTTCAATAGATTATTAATGGAAAAAATTGGGTTTCCTAAAATTGTTAGTGGACTAAATTGGCATTACCCCATGAGAAACTAATCCTGTTCCAGTCTGAGTTGTTTGAAATAATATTTTTGTTTTCTTATAAACCTTGAATGAACAATAAGGCATGAATAGATGGTCTCAATACATCTGATAAATAGCCCATGGAAAATCACCACTTTTCTGTATATGATAAAACTAGCACACTTCCCACCCTGAATTAGACTTGAATCATTCCACAAATATTTAGTGAACAACTACCATTCAAAAACACAGCAGTAAACAAGGCAAATACAAACCCTGGTCTCTTTCTAGTATGGATGACAGATGACAGACTTTAAACAAGCTAACAAAGAAATAATATGAGGAAATGAGAAGTTCTACTTGGAAACCAAAACAGAGGAATGAGGAGAAAGTGACTGGGGCAGGGATGCTATTTTAAAGAGGCCTCTTGGAAGAAATGACAAGTTGACCACCATGTGTAATGAGTGACAAACGTAACAGCCTTGAGCATGGAAATAAGCACGGCATGTTCCTGTGACAAGAAGGCCAGGGGTCTAGAGGTAGGATAAAGAGGGGCAAACAGTAGGAGGGAAGGGTGAAGAGTTTGGTGGGGACAAATTAAGTAGGGCACTAAGGGCAGGGTATCTAGTATGGCTCTTTTTTGGGTGGGAACATAATTGATTGTACATATCTGTGGGGTACAGTGTTGAATATCAGTCCCCGTGTATAATAGGTGATGTTCAAATCAGAATAATTACTATGTTTAGCAGTGCACAATATATTCATTTTTTGTGGCCATTTACCAATTTCTCGCTAAGAGTGTTGCTTTTATTTTAAGTTCAGGGGAAGTTATTGATGAATTTCTGTGTATTTCAAAAGCTCTCTCCTGATGTCCTGTGAAGTAAATTTCAGTTAAGAGACTATCGCAATAGATAAGGCAAGGCCATAATGGTAAAGGTCGAAGTGATGGAAACTGACAGATTCAGAATGTATTTTGGAGACAGAGCCACGAGACTGCTGATTGACGGGACATTGGCTGTGATTGATGATCTGGGGGAGGCCCACAGCAGGTCAGAGAGGAAAAGAAAACATTTAAGGACGACTCCTAGATTTTTGGTCTTAACAAATGGATGGATAATTATATCATTTACTGAAATGGGCAAGACTGGTAGATGAATAAGTTTTGTTTCATTTTATTTGAGCTAGGGGCAAGGAAATCAGAAGTCAGAGACTGAAAGTCCCTTTCTTTAAAAACATACTTCACATTAAAGTAGAAATAAGATTGGACCATTCCAAAGGCTAATTAACCACTTTTGGCTGAAAGCCCCTCAGCAGAAGAAATAATATCTCCTGCTATATAATGTGATAGAACTTAAACAGATGGCCATAATCTTGTATTAAAATACCAACAAAAACTACATAGTATGGTTTCATTCTTACAAACCGATATATCCTATTTTGTAGAAACACACAAACTGGTTTGTTTCCCTTTTTATTACTTTCAATACAGTGCCTTTTTTAACAAATAACCTCAGGAAAATTCACCACATATTCATTCATTCCTTAAACATCCCCTGAGGGTGACCTGTGTGCCAAGGTGTCAAGCTCTTTTATCTGCCCATAATCCTGCCAACTGGGCCAATTGTCGAGCCAGGGCTGGGTCTGGAGCTCACAGACCGCTCAAGCCCATTCCAGATTGGGTCACAAACCCTTCACATGCCAGGCTGGGTCCCCAGACGCCTCACACGCAGGTCTATGAGCTAGGTGACCAGCAAAAAGGTCCTTGGAGCCGTAGGTTGGAAAGCATGGCTGCGCTGGCGGATGCCGGAGGCAATAAAACGCCAACCAGGTGGCAACGCCACCCATGCGCACTAACTCCACGCACACACACCATTTGCTTACAAAGAACATGCCACACCACCCCCAACTGGGCCTAAGGCGAGGGCACCTGACCAGATTATTCTATGTTCCCAACACAAGGAGTATGATGAACATTGGGGATACAAAGAATAATAATACACATTTACCACTTCAGTGGGGCTTACTCTTTTAAGTACTGAGAAGACAAACAGACACATAAATGAAATGTGACAAGGGCAGAGATGGACAGATGGACAGACTATGTATATCTATGTATTAGAACATCATAGAGGAAGGCTATCTAGCTTATAAAGGACAAATGTTAATTACTATACTTGAGTGTATATATAATTTACTCTATAACACTTTTTCCCCAGAATCCACCGTTTCTTAGAAATTTAAAGATTAAGTCACAGTTTTGACATCTTTTTTTGTATTGTTTTGATGTATTCTCCATGAAGAATTTGGGGTAGCCTTTATTCATTTTTTCTACCAGCATCTGTGCTGTCTATGGGGGTAGTTAAAAGAGTGAACAAAAATATTCCAGTTCTATAGAAAAAGTTCCAGTTGGGGAGACATAAAAAGTAAAGAAAAAGTTACTAAAACAGTATCTTAAGTGCTGTAATAAAGACATGTACCACAGTCTACAGAGACGATAGAGATCCAATTTGTTTGTTGATGTTACAACAAACTGCTACCTCTACAGATTGGCAGTTTTAAATCTTTCTTATGCTGACTCAAAGGGAAATAAAAAATGTGCCCAGTGGATGATAGAGATCCAATTTGTTTGTTGATGTTACAACAAACTGCTACCTCTACAAATTGGCAGTTTTAAATCTTTCTTATGCTGACTCAAAGGGAAATAAAAAATGTGCCCAGTGGAGAGCTTCACTCATAGTAGCTTCTAAATACTGTTTGCTGAATTAATCAGCCAATAAACCAATCACAGGCAGGTCTCCAATCATTCAGCAATTATTGATTGAATGAATGAAAATGAAGTTGTCACTGTCTTCCCTTGAGATTATTGGTTACTGATCACCAGCTAAAGAGGCCAGCTGCAGCCCCATGATCCATTTTGATTATTATTTCCAGGGTTTTGTCTCCACCAGTGGCCCCTGTAAGGCTCATTAGCAGGGTCTCCTTGGATTTCTTTCTTGATACTGATACTCCAGTGAGTTTGATTAATGGTTGAACAGACATATATCTACTCACTATATATTTTGAATTGTAGATGGCATCTAATAGGTCTCCTCTAAGACTCTTTTAGCTATTTCTGGAGTTCACTGAGTGTTGTTTTATCATATAGCCGACTTCTTCCATCCTAGGTTCATTGGTTGTTCTTACTGGTTGGGAGGTAGATAAAAGGCCTCTTATAAATAGAGCTTCTGTATCCTCCAAAGATAAGTGAACATTCTTATTCATACCACACTAATTACATTATAGACCCAGTCCTTAGAGAAAAATCTAGCCCCACCTAGCTTCTATACACATTCTCAGACATAGGAATAAGCCCCCCATAATACACAAAGCCAAGTATGTAAATCATGCCCTAGTTCTATCCTAATCTCCCATAGTCTTAGCAAGACCATAAAATGCTCCAATAATAACCAGTAATAATCCTGGGTCATACTCCTTACATAAAATGCTGTACCCCGTGGCAGTACAGAGTATATGTATCCTAGATACATGTGTTTTACCAATTGTCTCCTCCTTAAAAACATAGAGTGGGGAAGCATTCGTATAACTTTTTATGATGTACAAGTGTTATTAAAACATGTTAACTAATTTCACTTCTTCATACAGTTACCTAAGTCAGTATTCAATCTCATACAAAAAGTACAATTTCCAGTTCTGGGTGGGTTATGGATTAGAAAAGAAATCACACACAAGCATAAAATTTCCTTTCTAAGTTGCAGATTCACCCCTTAGCTAAAGATATAAAACAGTAATGGAAATTAGCTGGCGAATAGAGCAGAAGTAGACGCAGTATATCTTGCGTAGATTTTCCCTTGTTCTTTGCTTTCCTTAAGGGGACACAGCAAAGAGGGGACATTCTCTTTGCAAGTAGGATCTTGAGAAAGAAACTGATTTCTTACTGGGCAGCTGCCCTTTTACATTCATGTTTACTCCAACATTCTGGAACATCTCACACTAACCATCTGTGTGATTCTGTTTAGAAAATGTTTGCAAACATCGAGTTCTCCTGATTCTTGAATTAAATGGAGTCAACCCAGCAACACTCTCATTTGGAGTCTGTGCCCAGGTGTCCCTGAACAATTTCTCTGAATTCATTTTGCCAAAAATCAAGAAAGCCCATCTCCACGCTTAAACCAATTCAGGCTCCTGTAAACTTCCTAACTTCTAAGAGAGAAGAACACATCTCAGTTATAAATATGAAGGATTTCACATCCTGTATATAGCAAGCAATCCCTTCTTATTGTTCTTTAATTATATTAGATAAGGAGGATTTACACCAGCAGATTAAATGAAAGGACTGTTCAGCCCCAATATTACTTAATGATTCTGGGGAAAATTGGGTTAATCCCTACAATGCAAACAAAATAAGAAATTTCCCTAGCTTTCCAAAACCAACTGGTTTTTCTTTTGAACTATTGTTTAATTATTATCTTCATTTTTTATTTTCTCTCACAAAGATAGAAATTAAAGTGGTTAACAAATTATGCATTCACAATTTTTCACTCAGTTCCTCTGTAACAATAATTTCTGTAATTTTTTATGTCATAAAAGATATTATTGTCGTAACAAACTCTAAATTTCACCATTTCTTGATGGTGACTTTGTCTATAGACCAGGAAAATTAAGGAAGGCCTTTATTGGTGATGTTTACTGCTGTCCTAACTCATTGTTTCTTATTTTTATTTTTTTGGACCATATTTCCACAGTCTATATGGACTTTCATCTTGGTAATGCAAGC